TCCTACAGGGCCGGTCCAAGGCTGATAAGGCCTGGAGCAGAACCTGACTGAGGGGCCCCATCAGCAGCTTTAACAGCTTCTGTGTTGGATTTAATCTGGGAGAGGAGGAGGAGTTTATTTTATTTTTTTCTTTACTTTATCAACTTTCATAACACATTCTTTACAGCATTTAAGTTTTATACAACCCTGTACACTTTAATATATAAAACCCCTACACGAAACATAAAATAAAAATAAATAAAATAAATACTTAAATAAAACACACACATACACACAAAGAAAATTATAATGACAAATGAAAATGCAAAAATCTGTTCACTCCATAGTCCCACTCCACCCGGTCGAAAGCCTTTTCAGTGTCAAGTGATAAGGCAACTTTAGGAGTTACAGTTCACTCCGTGTGTAATATGTTAAAAAATCTATGCAAGTTGAAAAAGCCATGCCTTCCCTTTACAAATCCTGTTTGATCAAAATAAATAATATGAGGTAAACATCGTTCTAGTCTGAGAGCCAGGATTTTAGACAATATTTTTAGATCCACGTTTAACAGAGAAATAGGACGATATAATGAACACTCAAGTGGAGCCTTATTTGGCTTCAATAATAGAGAAATGGTAGCTTGACAAAGCGTTGGGGGAAGACATAGCAAGTTAAATGATTCAACAAATATCTCGTAACAATGGAGATAAACTACCTTTATAGGTCTTGAAAAATTCAACTGGGTATCCATCTGGTCCCAGAGACTTTTCATTCTGCATTGAGTTAATTGCCAATTTCATTTCTTCTACAGTAATCTGGTCCTCCGGTTGATACCTAAATGTAGAGTCAAAAGTTGGAATCGTATCAAACAGTCCAGGCATTTTTAAAGATTCTGATTCATAAAGGTTAGAGTAAAATATTTTAAAACTCATTTATTTTTTGTGGATCAATAGTGACCTGTCCAGATTGGGTTTTAATTTCGGGAATTAAATGTGAAGTTTCGGATCTATGGAGCTGATGTGCCAAATCTTAGATGTTTTCTCCCCATGCTCATACCACATTCCTCTAGACCAGAGGTTCCCAAACTGTGGGGCATGCCCCCTGGGGGGGCACCGTGCCATTGCAGGGAAGGCGCAGGAAGCCGTCTGGATGAAACAAAAAACATGAACACTGTATGCGTTGGGTTTTTACCTTAGAATGGCCAACTCTCTGTTATTCCTGTCAATTTGATACAGTAGAGGCTTCCATACTTCCCATATCTGTGTCCTCTGTCACTTTTATCAGCAGTTAAAACTGTTTAATCCGTTGTTAACATGTTTTAACCTGTTTTTCCGAGCTGCCTTTAAACGCAACATGAGCGCTACGACGCTCGCGCTGGGTTTCCACCTGTGAAGGAGACCTGCTGCTGCTGGGCGGAGCTACGTAGGTTTGTGTTAGAATCACGGCAGCAAACCAGCAAAACGCAAAGAACTTTTCACAGTTTTTCCCTCCAAACTAACCGACTGAGTTGAGTAAAGCTGCTGGATGCAGGTAATGTTAGCTAAAGATGACTAGCTAATGTTAGCTAAAAGATGACTAGCTAACATCAATACAGAACCTTCAGCTTGTTAACAAGTAGCTTAAGCTACTGGTGTTGTCTGTGTTCAGCTACATTCATTCTGCCCCTCCTTGTTCGTCTGGAGCCGGGCTGAGTATAACAGGGAGTCTCTAAGAATCCCCCCTTCGCTCACACACATCGTTCAACCAGACAGCTTTCTGTAAGCCATAGGGGGCCAGAAAAAGTTTGGAAACCACTGCTCTAGACTGAAGAATCAAACGTTCAGACTGTTCAATTCAGTTCAATTGAACTCAGTTTGCAAAGTCAGTCTTTGTTTATACAAATCCAGAGACTAAGTTATAGAGTATGAAATCAGATCTGTCAGTTCAGTTAAACGTTTTACCTTTTGTTTCTTAGGATGTGAGTAATAGGATATGATTTAACTGCGTAAAAATGCTTTCAAGGTTTCCCAAACTGTACTAAAAGCTATACCAGGTAAAATGTTCATTTCGAAGAGAAAATTTATTTGTTCAGAAATATATCGTACAAATTCTTTATCTGACAGAAGAAGAGGACTGAGTCGCCAAGAATACGCAGAACGTTTGTCTGGAAAACTAAGTTCCAAAACAAGCGGGCTGTGATCAGATAAAACTATGCTATCATATCTACAAGCTTTAATATTAGGAAGTCATTTTTTATCCACAAAAAATAATCTGGACGTGAATACGTTTGATGAACTGCAGAAAAAAAGGAATATTGTTGGGTATATCAGGGTTTATCCAGAATTTCCAGAGTTGAATTTACTACCTTTCACTACCGGCCGGAAACCCTGTATATGGGTGCAAATATATGCACAGCACCATAATTCTGTAAAAATGACTGTAAAATTATGGAAGACTTCAGGAGTGAAACATTTTTGGTCCAGGAACGATCCAACACTGAGTCCATTCATGTCTCCTCTGAGAATCAGCTGGTGAGTATCAATTAGAGGAAGGGAGTGAATCAAGTTGTTTAAGAATTTAGGGTCGTCAAAGTTAGGGGCCCAATACGTTTGCTAAAATAATGGGAGTGTTAAAAAGTGACCCAGTCACAGTTACATAACGGCCATTTGAGTCAGTCATTATATCCGATACTATAAATGTTATTGACCAGAATTGCTGCGTCTTGTGCTTTACCATTAAAACTGGAATGAAAAATGTTCCCAACCAAACTTCTTCTAAGCCTTAAATGATCTATATCTTTAAGGTGCGTTTCTTGCAGAAATGCTATATGTACCTTAAGAGATGAGAAAGTACCTTATTCCTTTTAACTGGATGATTCAATTCTTCCATATTCCAGTTAACAAAATTAACATGGCAACCATTATTTACAGAGGTATCGTCAGTGGAAGACATCTACATACATGATGAGACAAAATGGTCCAAATCACATTGATTAGTCTTGTCATTGGTGTACACCGTAAATGTATAGTTAGCCCCCGTTTGTGCAAATAATAAATGACAAAGAGAACAAAGAAAATACACACAAAGCAACAAAAAAAGACATGTACTCACCCATCCCTTCACATTCAGTGTTGTCCCCAACTGACAAACACAACATCCCCAAAGCCTCTCTGCTTTCTAAAAAACTATTCACCCTAAACTCAACCACAGTCCCAAACAAAAAGAAAGAAAAAAAATAAATGTCTAAACTATAAACCACCCATTTACCCCAAAGCGCACTGGAAAAAGTCACAACATCAAACAATATATGTTTCAATTTAAAAAAGACAAGAACAGACTCCTAAAACAACTAAAATAACAAAACAAAAAAATAAGGTGTGTTTATTTAACGTCTACCATACGCCGGTTCGGGCGGTGCAGTTCGTTTAGCACACAGTCTACCAATGCCACTATCCACTCAGCTGCCCCAGAAAGACAAACAAATGCACCATCCGTACGCATCAGTCTGTAGATGCAGGAGTATCCCTCAAAGTTTTTCAGTCAAACCGGAAAACTAACAGCTAAATAAAAACAACCAGAGACTAGACAAAGAGTCCCCCTTTCAAAAATTAGCAACGTTTTAACATAAAAGTCCCAGGTCTCACGTAACAAATTAACAGTACAGTCTCGTATCCTCACAGCCTTTCCTGCACTCTTAGAAATGGCTGTAAATTTACGGTGGAATTCCAGCAGTAACATACTGTTATTCCAAAATACAGTAGGATATTGTCAATTTGATGTCTTCTTCTGTTGTCACAATCAAGACTGACGACTGGCAGTAAACTACCGCAAAATAATTGTTCAATACAGTTTTTTTTCCTAGGCAAGACATTTTACTTGTATTTGCATCTTAGAGAACCAGCATTTAAAGACAATATTAAATGGAAAGACAAAAAAACTTTCCATAATAAATCTTTTTGGGAATGAATCGAAATCTACAGAGCATAATTAAAAATGTTAGAATACCAGTGCTGGTGTTGTATGTTAAAAATACAATGTTAATTAAACACTTGTTTAGTCAAATTCAAAGATGGGTTTGTCAGTTTCCCTAAAGAGATGGTGTTTGATAAAGAGTTGCTCCCACAATCGCAACGTATCTGTGACGTCACGTGTTTGATGGGAGACAGCAGTGTGGCGTCTTGTCTAGAGCTTATCATAACGAGGTAAGTTCCCCAAAGCTAGTAAAACATGCTCTTTTTGTTCTTTCTTTAATGTATTTATGTAATGTAATGGTGATGTGTTGTCTCAATGTTTATAACTCCCTGGCTGACATTATACTACAATGTATGCTGTGTTTATACTGTTATGTATTCTGTATCTCAATAAAGATCTATTAAAAAACAAACAAACAAAAAACAAAGGTAACAAGACCATCATGTTTTTGATTTTGATTATTTTTAATGAATGCATTAACTTTCTGTTTGCGCAACAGTATCAACTTATGCTTAACGTAAGTTTATTTGTTTGAATATCGCGGAACGACTGTTCAGTACAGGGGAGCTCAAGTCCAGTCCTTGAGAGCTGCCATCCTGCAACTTTCAGATGCTTCCCTGCTCCAATTAACACACCTGAATGAAATGAATGGCTGGTTAGCAGGTCTGTTCGGAGCTGATGTTGGAATAAAGATGCATCGAAAAATTGCAGGACCTCTCGAGGACTGGACATGAGCACCCTTGGTTTATTATTTTTGTTAGCAGCTGAGGCTAGCCAAGCAGGTGTAGCAGGGGGTGTCAGTGGTTAAACGAACATTAAAACTGTCAGAAAGGCCGTTTGAGTTAACATTATTTAGCTGCGGAGTCGTTTTCTTGAAGTTTCCAGTAGCTGTGCTGGACCGGTGGTTTGATCTATGCGATCAAAGCTAAGCCAAAATGTTTTTGTCTCTATAAATAATAATGATAATAAATAATGACATATTGGCTGCCTCTTTTTTCTTCATTAGTACTTCATGATGGTGACTGAAGCCTGTTATGATGACTTCAACACATTTCTTCTGACAGGTTGGTAGAAGAAATCCTCTCCAGAATGTTTCTATAAGCTGACTAATTTCTATAATGCCTAATGTCTGAGTTGTGTTCATGGTAATTATTTCTGACATTTTTATGCTTTATGTTGTAGGTGGTGAAAAATGCTCTCCAGGGTAAACCGGGTGGACAAAGTATTTTGGTGGGTCTGGTTAGTTTTGCTCACTTCTCTTTAAAATCTGTATTTATTATCCTAATGTGTCTGCTATTTATCCTGTTGTTCCTCCAGGCTGGGAAAACCAGGCATTCTTCCGTTGGTTCATGTGCTTCGTCCTACATCTAAAGGCCACAAGAAGAATCCAAAACAGCTCATGTCAAACTGTGGACCATGTTTTCAGATATGTGCAGGTATGTGGTTATTCTAATGATCCTACTTTGTAGAAGCACTTTCTCATTGGCTTTGTTCGCTATCTGAATGTAGCTGTGCTGCTAAATATATTGAATAATTTTTATTATTTGTCGTCTTATCATTATGTCAAAGATGCAAGCCAGTGTTGAAGCCTTCCTCATTGCCGTGCAACCAGGACAGCCCTTCCTCCTGCATGTTGGTGAAAACAAGAGCAGCACCAAAGACACTTCACCCCATCAGTGATCCCAAGGTCATCCAAGGTAGCTTTTGATGAACTTCCAAAGCACACTTCACCTTCAGTGCAAAGTACCATGAATTCCTCTACAACTTCTGTAAATTAATCCAGCCTACAGTTTTCAACATTGATGTGACTTGCACGACAATTGAGGAGTTTAAGATCCTTGCTTTTACTTTACCTGGCAGAGTGGACACTCTTTATTATGATGATCATTTAAATGCATACTGTATCAATAAGAGGATTTGTTTTGTGTTCTTCCAATTAAGGACTTGGTTTATTACAATCCCTGTGGCAAGCAGTTTTCTGCATGGTCAGCATTGAAGGTCATATTGTCTTTGAGAGGGTCCAGCCAACCATTCCAGACAGGACAGTGTTGTCCATCTTCTACATTTTCAACCTCCAATGAGGCAGCCAAGATTTTGGTTCATTCAACGGTAAAACCATTCCTATAATTTTTTTTTACAATGACATGGTTTTAAAGCAAGTTATGATTTACTGTTAAGAAGCAATAATATTTTCTGTAACATTTAAGTTCTAGAATGTGTGTATGTGATCCTTTTGTTTGTGAAATGTTTGTTACCTTTTGGGTGTGTCCTTGTAGCAGCCATCTTGGAACCTACCAAAGAGGAGGCCCGCCTCAAACCCAGCTCTTTTATAGAAAGGCCCATGTTTGCCGGACTTTGATTGGCTGGGCAGTTAATTGAGAAGGTGGGGACAACAGTATATAAAGGGACTGTTGGCTGAGCCAAGAGAAGGGAGAAAAGCTTGAGAAGATGTAATTTTGTCTTGTCCGTGAGCCATGCTGTGCTGTGCTGTGCTGAAGGAGGCCTAATAAACCACCTTTGTTTATGCTACAGCCAACTTTGAGGAGTTTTTTCTTCCACACCACACCTCTCAGTGTAACATTAACATTTGACAAAGGTGGTGATGTTTTCTCTTTACGTAATTAAAAACAGCTTTATTTATATATTGTACCAGCTGTATTCAAAATGTCACACTATTTATATTCTCAGGAATTTTCCCATTTTTGATTTTGTTTTTTAGTCGCTTCATTGGGATTAACCCAGAAAAGGGCACAAAAGCTGGTCATGGGAAGATGGTATCCAAAAAGACAGGCAAGACTATTCAAAAGAAAAAGTGACAGTCAATGTTCAGGTTTCCACGCTCATCAAAAACTTGATGGACTTTGAGTGGCATCTCATTCAGGTTAGTTGTTGTCCTTTTCTATTCTTTGAAATCTTTCTGTTTCCATATTATTTAGGATCTAAAATGTATTGTCTTTTCTTTTTCCATGTTGGACGGTGCCGGTCAACATGGAATCTAATCTGCATCTAATAAAGTAAGTGCCACTTGGACTCTTGAAAACCATTAATAGTTCACATTTTAAAACCCTGTTAATACTAGAATTCCACATTATTTCAGCCATGTTGAATTTTAGATTTTGGAAGTCCTTTTTCTTTGATTTGTTTAGTGATACCCAAAGCATGGATATTTCTTTAAGAACTGTGTTATCTTCATAAGATTGTAGAAATTAATGAGTTAGGGTAGTGTTGGTGAAACTATATATGGACTTTGAAGGCCTATTTTTTACCAGTTCTCTGAGGAATGGTTTTGTTATTCCTTTTGAATGTTTGAATATACTGGAAATATATGTGGTTTGAGGCATAGTGGTGCCTTTAAATAAAAATTCTGTTCTGAAGGTTGCTTATCACATCCTCTTCTGTGTTATGTGAAGTTCTGATTATGCAGATTTTGCATTTTAGAACCGCACCAATTGTAGCACTTCTAAGAAGCCTACACTGGGTCAGGTATTAATGTTCTATCGTAAAACAAAGACTGTGCTTTAAAAAGTATCATTACAGTTTTCTTGGCAGTAGCTTACTCAATGTGAATGCAGTAGTAAAACTAAATTTACTGCAAAAATACTGGAACGCTACTATTTGAAGGTATATTTACTTTCACCACTGTATTGTATGGTGGCCAACAGGTACAAACACCCAGCAAAGACGAGAAAAATACACGCAACAAAAAAGATGCAAACAAAAAATGCTGAAAACAGAAGTGATCCAGACCACTAGAGGGAGTCGAACACAGAACAGCTGTGTCCAAAGTCAGGTTTTGCATTGTTGGGTCCTCAACGACCGGAAGAGAGAAACTGTAGCTTTCAGCTAGCTGCTTAGCCTCTACCGTGGCGTTCTGTTGCTTAGCAACCGTGACAAATTGAATCACATAGCGGCGAAGGAAAAAAAAAACGGACTGGAAGTATGTTTTTTTTCCTCCTGATTTCTCTATTACTTTTCACCTTTTGTAATAAAGGCTGTTGCATATTTAAAAAATCTTAGTCTGATTCTAAAATGTTCCAGCACGTATAGCACATTTACACAAGGAATGTAAGCAAAGAATCCCTTTTCAGATACTCTCCAAATATCAGGTAAGACAATACAGTTTAATCAAACTATTGTATTTTTAGGCTTAACTTTAATCAGTCAAACCGATTTGCTCAGGAATATATTAATTATTTGAGTGAACCAAAATATTACAACTAGATGTTACCTGACTTAACTGTCATTTGGGAAAACCCAAATGAGTCAGGTGTTCTAAACCTGGACCAGCTGGCAGCAGGCGAGCGGAGCTGGGTGTTAATGCAGCGGCAGCAGACATTTCCGAAAACGTTGGAGCAATATTGCAATTAGGTGATGCACTGATGAACCGAGCAGAAATGAGAGATTTATACATCTACATTCTCGCCTACAAACATTGTTTAAATAATGTTGTCACGGTTGCTAAGCAACATAACGCCGAGGTGGAGGCTAGGCAGCTAGCTGAAGGCTACAGCTTCTCTCTGCCTTCGCAGGACCCCTCTTCCGTAGACCGGGTCGTTTCTCAAGGCCATGACAGAATAAGCTTGAGAGGATGAAAGACCCTGAACTCGGACACAAAGCTCTAGTGGTCTGAAACACTTATTTTTATATATTTTTTGCATGTCTTTTTTGTTTGCGTCTTTTCTTTGTTCTGTTTTTCTCGTGTTTGCTGCGCGTTTGCACCTGTCGGCCACCGTAGTATTTTAACGATTCTGTATTTTAGTTCTGCTGGGCTCCATATGGTTATGTGTATTTGTTATAAGTTGCATTGTGATCACTGTTATGTGTAGAGTGTTATGGGGTTCCCCTGTCTGACTGCTGACTCCCCTCACATGTGATGGACCTGTCATGTGGATGGGGGATCAGGACCGATGCTGACAGAACACCGGAAGAGCGGAGAGTTCAGTGTGTTAGCAGTGAAGCTATTCAATTGAGTGTAACGGTTTGTTAGAGGGCCGAGCTGCAGCGTAAGGAATAGCAGCTCGCTTTTATTTCTAATAAACCCTGTTGACGGTACCACATCTGCGGTGTGTTGGCGTCATTACAGTATTTACTTACAGTACTACACCACTTTAAAAGGTAATTACAGGATGGAAAAGGTAAATGTGGTATGTACAGACGCCAGCTTTTTTTTTTTTTTTTTTTTACCGTTTTTTGTTAAGAATGATAAAAAATAAAATAAAAACTGGCGTCTGTAGCTACCAGTTTTTTTATTATCGTTCTTTCAGAAAAACGGTAGATTACCGTTCTTTCGAAATAACGATAAACTACCCAGCCAGCATGCCTAGGTGGGCCCCATGTGGGGGAAAGGAGGGCTGATATATGGGTCCCATATGGGTTTGTCCGCGGGTTCCACGATGGCCCCACATGGGTTTGCCCATGTAGGGCCACAGCCCACATGGGCCCTACATGGGCCCTAAATGGACAAACCCATGTGGGGCCATCGTGGAACCTGCGGACAAACCCATATGGCATGCCCTCCTTTTCCCCACATGGGGCCACCTAGGCATGCTGGCAGGGTACTGGCAGCTACAGACGCCAGAAGTTTACCGTTATTTCACAGTATCTATGCCGTACTTGCATTGACGGTAACCTACTCTCAGGATTAATTACGGTACAGCTACTGTGTATTTACAGTAAACTTCTGGCGTCTATAGCTGCCAGTATGTTACTGTAAATTTACAGGATTATTTCTCAGAGTGCATCACTCAGGAGAGGGACCAAACTTGGATTCAATCAAGTTTTTCGCTGTCTCAGGAGAATCAAACACTTTTGTTTCGCCGTTGATGGAGATCCGCAAACGGCCAGGATCATAGCGAACTCTGTCTTTTTTCTGCAGAAGCTTCTTTACCTCGTTGAAGGCAGCCCGGCGTCTGGACAGGTCGATGCTGTAGTCAGGAAAGATGAAAATCTGCTCCCCTCGAAACTCCAACTTGCCTTTCTGTCTGGCCAGTTGCTGCATCCGCTCCTTCTCCTGGCAGTAATGGATGCGCACAATAAATGGCTGCGGACGTTGGAGGCGCCGCCGCCACCGCTGGATGAGCTCTGTCCAGGAGTGGAGCCTTTTCCAGACCGCCGGGACCACCCAGTACGTCAAATAACGGGTCAGCCATGAATCTGGTGGGGTTCCCCTGCTCCACTCCTTCAGGTACTCCCAGTATCCGTAGGTTACAACGTCTCCCTCTATTTTCCAAGTCGTCTGTTTTTGCCAATAACTTTTTATAAAGGTTGTTTAGGTCTGCACAGCACGTTTCCACAACTTCCAAGCGGTTGTCCAAATTCTCCAGGCCTTCTTCATAATCACCCATTTTCTTTGTGAATTCGTCAATAGCAGCTTGAATGGGTGAAACGGCTTTGGCGATTTCCTCTTTGATTTCTCCTCGTAGGTTTTCGTTTTCCTCTTGAATTACTCCTTTAACAATATCGCGGAATGTAAGCAGCATGGCCTGGTCTATAGCCGCCTTGCTAGCAGCCTCCGGGTTGTTAGCTTGCGCTCCTTTAGCAGATGGTTTAGACCACATGTGTCAAACTCAAGGCCCGCGGGCCACATGTGGCCACATGTGCCC